ACAACACGACTTTTGGAAATCTTTATTTGAAGGAAATTAACTTTTAGATTATTCGCTCTGATTTATATGAAGTGATAGTTGTTTCAGTCTTGGACCTCATCACCTCAAAGAAATCTCGAGCTCATAACCTAATTTTGAAATACTGGCCTTCTTTACGAGTCTTGGGGCAGAAAAATGTCGCTATTTCACTCCAATCTCTACAGTATAAGGTGACAACTGGTAAGGTATCTGTAGGGAATTATTTCCACATCGACATTGCATCGTTTTGTCGAACAGCAAGAATTTAAAACACAACAAGGTATCCGTTTGTGTGAGAATCCTTTATTATATTTTTGTCATTTTGTTAAAGGAACTGGAAAAATTACAGTGAATGGAGGAACCGGTGGTGGGAACTCAGGGGGTGGGGCTGGTGGAAGGATCGCTGTCTACTTCACCGAGAACACCACCTACACAGGGTCCTTCCAGTCACGAGGAGGTGCGAAGGGTGGAGCATCGAATACCGAGGCGGGCGGACCTGGTACAGCGTTCCTCTATCACCTGGTTCACATTCATAGGACACTGCTTGTGGATAATGGCGGACAGCACCCACTCACAACACGAATATCCGATTATTCGGATCTTTCGCAAGACGGATGCCGCGCCTGGATTTTACCAGAGTCGGGAGGCCATCATTTCGCTAATGGTTCGCACGATTTCCACTTTGAAGAGCTGCAGATTTACGGAGGAGCTCACTTGGCGATCTTAACCGAACCGGTGAACCGTGCTGCTTCGTTGTTCTTTCGGTACATGATCGGAGACCGAACGGGAATGATCCATGTGAGTCGAAACCAAGTAATGAACCTGCATCGCCTGTTTCTAGACATCCCTTTCAGCGCTTATATCTACGATGGTGGATACCTTGGCCTGGCGCCTATTTCCGAAATGAACAAGATCGCTGTGCACGTGGAAGGAACGCTTGATCACATTCGAAATCTCACTATCCTTAATGGCGGTGCACTTCACTGCTACTTAACAGGCTCAACCGGAGAAGGAATTCGCCGTCATTATACCTTTAACGAGACTGTAAGAATCATGGCGAGGTCACAAATCCGGAGTCACAGCCCCAACGCGCATAATGAAGCATTCAGTGTCCAAGCTAAGATCCTAAC